ATTAATGTAGTTGAATTTTACACAAAAAAAAAAAAAAAAAAAAAGAAAATTCCTTTATTATAATCTTTCTAAGCAAACAATGTAATAATATTTCATAGTAATAAAATCATGGGAAAAAAAAACAAAGAAAGAAAAAGAAAAAGAAATTTGAAATGATAGAATTTTAAATTTTACAAAAGAAAATAAAAAAGGAAAAATTTGTTGAGAAAGAACATTTTTCCTTTTTTTTTCTTTTTTTTTATTTTACAAAATGATTAATTTTACAACGATAAATTGTTAACTTTGAAAAAATTCTCCAAAATTATAATATAATGTAAATTACAATAAAATAAAATTAAAATTACAAAAATGAAATTTAATATTTGAAATAATCATTACATAAGGATCAAAAATCAACATTGTAAATAGTATATATATATATATACATGATGATACATTTAATGTTTTTACATACATTTACATTACAATCATAAGCAATTTTAAATTTGCAAACTACGTGGGTGGTCATAAACGGCTACAACTGCCAACTGTTAAAACATCGTGTGTGGTCGTTCTGTGTAGCATCATGTCATTTTGCCTAAAATTATTTTTGACTAATTTTACCATCAATATATATATTTTTTAAAAGGACGAAATTCACCATCAAAATATCACATCCTCTTCTATTATCAAATACAGTAATTTTGATTGGTAAATGTTTACATACTTGAAATTTTTCAAAACTTAGCTAAGTTTTTTAACATACAAATTGTTGAATGTATTTTACATATCCGTTCATTTTAATAGGATGTAATAATGTAAAATGTAATAGTAGTAAATTTAAAAAGATTTTTTTTTTATCAAAATTCTTTTAAACTTTTGTTATTTCTTCGTTTTTTTTTTTTCTTTTTACTTTATGCAAATTATTTGGTATTTATCGATTAAGCAGATAGGATGCATGTAGAACGAAGAAAAGGAAAAGTTATAATTTCTATTATTCTCGAAAAGTCGGTGGTAATTACAAACAATAAATCCTGGAAAAATCTTCTTTGTATTCTCTTTTATTTGGCATATTCTTTTGAAATTTAAAATTATCAAAAAGAATTTTGGTAATTTTTAATGGTTGTTTTTTGTTTGTGGATTTTTATTCCCATGATGTAGCTCAAATTTTGAGCGATTTATGCTTTTGAAGAAATAGTTTCGTATTTTGGATAATTCCTACTTTTACAAAATATTTCAAATTTTGAAAAGAAACATTAATTTTCATAAAGTATTTCATTTTCTCGGCCATCTTTGCTCCCAGAAAGACTCGATCAAACATATCATTTTCTTATAAAATTAAAAAACAAATCCCCTTCTCTCCAATCAACCTATTTGAGGTTATTCATTTTATCAATTGATAATTTCTTGAAAATTATTTCCAAAAAATTGAATTTGTCTAAAAGGAAGATCAATTAGCAAAGATTTATATCATGTTAAAATTTCCTTAGTAAAAATATTTCATTTTATTAAGCCATGCAATATCAACTGTTGAAGCAATATATACAATTTTGAGCAACACTTTTGTTGACAATAATAAAAAAGAAATCAAAATAAAATCAATAAGAGGAAAAAAAAAGACAAACAATTTTAATACATTTTGAGATCATCAAATTATATCAAATAACAATAATAACAACAACAACATTAGTAGTAGTGATAGTAATAGTAACAGTAATAATAATAGTAGTACATCGATCGTAACATTAATAATAATAATAATAATAAAATGTCAAATTCACGGTAAAAATGAAATGATGTATTTTATTTACATGAGGCTCAAGTCCAACCAGAATATTTCATGGGAATTATTATATTGCACAGGAAATTTCGAACATAAAAATCTTTTACAACGATTTTTGAAAATGAGAAATTGATTCTTGAGATAACGACTGTTTCAGTTGAATAACCAAAATTAGCTTCATGAAATTTCAAACTAACAAAGGTATAAATATGTAAGGTGCAAAAATCAAGACTAATTGGATCATCTGTTTAGCTTCCTCTCAAATTCTTATTGTAATTTTAACATTAATAACAAAGGTCTAAATTAGAAGTTTAAAAAAATTTTTCAAAAGAAGGAAAACAATGAATACCACTTGGTGTACTACGAATTTTAACTAACCAAAATCAAATGTTTTTTGAAGTTTTTTTTTTCTCGCAAAATTGCATAATCTTAGAATAAACCTACTACAACATTTTGTCAGCAAACATTGACAGTGCAGTACAATACTTTCTATCGTCATGTTTTTTTTGTGCTAAACTTCAAAACTATTTTAACTAAAATAAAATTCCTAAATTTAGTAAATTAATTCACTCATCCATTTATGGTTTAAGTAGAAATTTTAAGTAAATGAGGCAAATTTATTCGTATATTATAAACAGCGAAAATTAGATATTCGTGATATCTTTTCCAGAAATAAAACCAGAATCATTCAATGCATGTCCCTCATTGCACATCCTTTTCTCAGACGAATTACTGTCATCAATGATCGGAAAGTTATTCAATTGGTCGAACTGATCTGTCATGTCATGCTCATCGTTAGTATCATTGTTGGTTGCTGTGACAACTGCGATTTGTACGGCATCTGTTAAACTTTCCAACTCGGGAAATATTTCGGAGGAAATGCTCCTACTACCATCAAAGTTAGATATTTTTGGTTGGGTTAATATCTGTAGCTTCGTGACATCATTATTCTCTGATTCCTCAATAAGTTTATCCATACTATGCGATATTGAAACCTGATTCAGTTTATGAATAGTTGTTGAACGTGCTACACGCCAATGAGTGTTAATAAACCAGTTTGGATCATTTTCCAACATTTTTGATGTTTCCGTAATAGCTTCCATTAATTTTGCGTACACCGAACTGTATGCAAAAATTTGTGAATCATTTTCAGTATCTGAATCGGTTAAATTAGAAATTAATGCAGCAATATTGTCGGGGATAATATACTGCAACAAGCAACTTAACGGTGGTAGAACGAATAATGGTAGCGTATATCTGAATCGAATTGATATAACCGATGAATGCCTGAATCAAAAAAAAATTCAAAAGAATTTTAAAAAAAAGGAAGACTTGGATTAATTCATAGATTTATTATTCTTTGATGCAATTAATTAAAATTATTCTCCAAGTTTTAAATAATGTTTTCGAAGTTCCAGAATTTAAAAATTTCATTAACACAACTGTCTTTTTCTTTGCTGGCCTAAACAACTGTGGATAACAAATTTATGGTATTACGAGAATGCTATGTTAGAAAAAAAAATTTTTAATAAATAGAGAATAATTTTCAGGTAATTAAATGTTTAAACTGAAAGATCAGTTGAGGGAGAATATTTGAGCTTAAGGTGCTGATGAATGCGATCGAAATACGCTTGCTTCCAAAAGTAAACTTCTTTGGTTGTAAAAAGGGAAAGAAGTCATCTTGGATTTAAATATACGTTATGATTCTACTAGCGAAATTTAAAGATTTTAACAGTGATAATATTATCAATGTGATGATTTGGTTCATTAAGACAACCAATCGATTCTATTCATCTAAATAATCCCAAAGAATTTCTAACTAATGTAATTAATTGGAAGAAAACGAAACAAAAAGATTCATAGAGACGGCTTACACTAATGCTTGATCAATTTGTCTGTCGAATAAATCATCGAGTGGTTCGGGATCCTTTCGCTTAATACGATATTCTTGTTGTATCTTACATCGATAATGATAATATGCTCCTTCAGAATTGATAATAATTACTTTATCAGCGTTCAAAATCGACACGCTGATATAATCCAGAAGATTGCGCTCAATTTCAGCAATATCCCAAACATCCAACTAGAAATTAATTAATTTTTGCCATATTTTAAAGTGATAATTCACTTAATTAGTTTACCTAATTGAAACCATGAATAAGCTCCATTTTATCAAATGTACACTTATTTCAATCAAATTCAGAAAATATTGTCAATAAATTTAAAAAATAAACAACTCACGTGAACGTCGAAACCAAATATGCTCCGCAAATATTCCGCAAAGATTAGAACACACCTTTCATGTAACAAACTGTCATGCGAATAAATCAGTAAAACATTAAGTCGTGCTGAAAAAAAAATTATTTATTTATTACTTGGTCATTTAGGAATCAGTAATGATTAATAATTTTGAGCGATTGCTACAATTAACTTGGAGAGTTTACCTGAAGTTTTCAAAAATCCCATCATTAAAAGGATAATTTTTTTTTTCTTGTTTTATTTTCAGAAAATCCCATTTGATGTTAAATTATCCAAGTAGAAATCTGAGAAAAAAAAGATTTCAAAGTTTGAGGAGAAATCAAACCAATATGAATTAAAGGTGTTTTACTACTGGATAAGGTTGCCAAGGCTGTTGTTGAAGGTGGACGATCCGTTACAAATCGTATTCGTAGAGTTTTATTGGTTAGTCGACGACGAACATGATATAAGTATAGGACATAAAGTAGGAAAAATATCATCAAACTTATAACTAAAAGCATTGTTGTGAATACTATTGCCCTGTAATGAATTCAAATTTTAAAAGTTCAGAAAAAATTGTCAAAAACAAACTTTAATTCAACATCAAAAGTTTCACGTATTGCTCGGAATGATAAACACTTATACAGATATTATGAGTTATATCGAGGAAATCGTACCGAATAGATGAACATACTTGCCAGTATTACTTCAATACGTTATGCCTAAGTGATTTTCGAGATTAAATTAATGGGTTTGAAGTGGTTTTTGAGATTAAAGTAAAGTAAAGGAGGAAAATATCTCACTCGATATCTCGTAGATGAGTTAAAACTCGAAATTTCCACGAAATTCCATAATTAAAACAAGAAATGGTTACTTATAAAACGAATTAACTTTAAAAGATAATTTAATCAAGAAGATGGGTTAAAAGAAATAGTTGAACACTGCGTTAAGAAATTAATCCTGAACCGTATCTAATCTACGATATTGCTTTCAACCAAAAATGGAGACAGTTTCTATACAGAATGTAACGGGTCAGATTAACAATTTGGTAATATGAATCAATCCTTACCATATATATCCGGAAGCGCTATGCTTAGCACGGAAAATTAAAGTATTATTTCGTTCTAGTTCTGGCGCAATGGCTAGTGGCTTTTCCATTCCTAGAATCGTTATTAGAATTTTCGACACAATTCAACACTTCTTAGGTAATTTAGTTGCAAAGAAAATGTAGAAATTTAATTTAAAAATCTTTATTTGATTTGAGTTAAATAAATTCTTTTTTCCGAACAAATTAAAGTTAGAAAATTATAGAAAAAATTGCTTAGTTACAACTTTTAAAGTAATCCCATTGGTAGTTTTCTTCCTACTTCTAATACCATAAATTAAACTTACTTTGAATTCGAACCTTATGCCAGTCAGCAGCGATACAAGAACACACCATCCGGTTATCAAAAGGACTAGTGCTTAATACCGGACAAAGACAACGACCATCGCGGGAGCGCTCTATCGGTATAACAGATGGCATGAAATACTGATCCACCTAAAAAAGATAGGATGTGATCCTATCTTATTTTACTTTTTTTGCAAAACAATTGAAAAGTAAGAGCAGTGGATTATAACTGGTTTCTCATTCATTGCACTTCAGCAAAAACGTTTTTTCCTTTTTTAAACGAAATATTATGAAGGGAAATAGCATGAATTGTAAAGAGTTTGCAGTGATCAATTAGATTTAAAAACATAAAATGATGAAACAAAGTGGTAATTTGTAATAATTTTCGGTAAAAGTTTTTGCATATTACTATCATGTTGACAGCGATTATTAATGAGTATGATAATGGAGGGGAAATCATGAATTATTAAGAATGGTGTTAGCATTGTAAATTTTCAGAAAAGTATCAATTAAAAAAAAATTCAAAATTACTAAAAGATATTAGGATAAAATCTATTTTAATTGTTTAAAATAAAAGGTTTTTTCTGCTTTTTTTCCTATTTTCAAATAGTACCTCCAAATTGGTAAAATTATACTGGCCAAAAAGCATAGTTTGATTGCCAAAGTGTTCCATATACATCAATTCCACTGGTACCACTGCACTATGAAGCAATTCTAGGCCACTTTCATCCTTCAATCGTACCTCATAACCTTCGAAACAGTAATGAGGTGGTGCACCCACAAATTCAACTTGAATCATTCGTGCTAATGAATGCACCAAAATACGTCGAAAACCACCAGTCCATCGTGATGCTTGCAAATTTGCTAAAAGAAAAATTGTTAAGAATTTTAAAATTTCTAATAGGAGGTAGCAAAAAAACATCAAGTATTTGAAAATTTTTCCAAAAAGAACTTTTTTTTGTTTCAGATTATTGCTAATACTGCATAATTTTAATTAAAATTTCAGAAAAAAAACCGAATGTTTAATAAACTTTGAGAAAAATTTACATATTTGTTTACAGTCGTGTTCAGTGACCGTATCATTATAATAATCTGAAAAAAAAAGAGAAATGAAGAAAAACGAAAATGATTCAAAATCAAATAAAGCGTATTTGCTACCAGATAAACTTATACAAGATTTATCAAGTCTGATTAGATCGTAAATTTGACCCCTAAACTTGAAGAGCAAGGTCAATTGGTCAATAACTGCATCGGATTTTCCCGAGATATATGGATTTTTCCGAAAATGACCCCTAATTAAGATTACTGGATTGTTCTGTTTAAAATCATTCCATTGATTATTATGCTATCAGCAGTTTTCATATCTGAATTTCAGTATCCCTTCGTTTTCGTTTCCGAAATATTACTTCATTCCTATCAATTTTCCTTATTTCTTTTGTGACAACAAAATATTCGGGAAGTATTCTCAAAAAAACGAAGAATATTTACCAGGATGATGAGGCATCAAGACATGTTTCCGGAGAATTGTTGTATGATTTTTTCTTCGCGATAAACTTATCAACTTAATGTCATATGTCTCGCCAAATTCGAATAAACTTTCGGAAGTGAAATGAAATCGAGGCTGAAAGTTAGTTAATTACTGTTATTGTTGCTATTCAAGAGTTCGCAATCGTCAACTATTGCTAATATATTCCCAACTTCTTAAAAATTCAACGTCTATCTTTCTTTTTTTTTTTTTTTTTTTTTTAAGTATCTTAATATTGTACGTTGAAATTCGAACAACATGAAAAAAAAGATTTCGGAATTAAATTTTGAAATTTCAAATGTCTTTCATTTTCCTTTTCAAAAGCATGAGATTTCAACCATTTTTGAGATGAAAACAGGTCTTAATCTAACTTTTTCAATCAAAATTTAATTAAATTTCGCTTTAAAAAATTTAAAATGAAATGTTAACAATTCTAGAAAATAAACACTTTCAACGTTAACTTTTTAAATTAAAGCAACATTTGGTAATAATGCTCTTTTTTGTTTTGCAGGGATTTAGCATCAATTATATTCAGCCATTTTGGGAACTCTTTTTATGTTGAATAAAAGAAAATAAATAAGATGAAAAGAAAAAAAATAACATAAATGAAAATGAAAATTAAGATGAAGCAAACCACGGCGGCAATTAAATTACTGTTCCAATTAGAATTCGAAATATCAAAATAAAAACACGATCGATTAGATGAGACATCTTCAATTTCCAAAATAAATCCCAGCAACAATGATGTAAAATCTGCAATCATTTTATGATAGAGAAAAGGAGAGAGAGAGAGGGAGACAGACAGAAGAAAGAGAGAAAGGGAAAGAATGGCAATTGTAATTAGAAGTTGAATTTTGAACAAATTTAAAGGAAAAAGTTGTTAAAATTTGTGTTAAATTTTTCTAATTTTAAAATATGATGAGTTATTGGAATTTTCTAATATTATAAATCATTCAAAGCATTTGTTAAAGTATTTCATTTATCATAATTTATGATCTATTTCTCAGATGTTATCGACTTTTTTCATTAGTTTATTTGTCAATGTAAACACAAAAATAAAAAAACTTTCAGTGGCGATCAGTAAATACGAATATTCATAAATATTCTCTTATCATTAAAGGATACAGGAAGAAAAAACAAAAACAACTTTGGAATATTCTATTATTTTTTTTTTTTGTTAAATATTAAGAAATATTAAGAAAAATGTCCTATTTTTCGCGTGGAAAAAAAAGAAATCGTAGCATTTTAGAAGATATAAAATACGATTTAATATATTAAAAGTTACACTAATGGAAAAGTGTGAATGGCATTGCAAGGTTCCACTTAATTAATGGTTTATATAGGTAACTGATTAATAAATTCTCCCTCATTTGTATTCACTTTTCATCCTTTTATTACTATTTATTATTATTATTATTATTATTATTATTATTATTATTATTATTATTATTATTATTATTATTATTATTATTATCATTTATTATTATTATCATTTATTATTAT